TTGTGTTGTTGAGGCGAGTCAACTCGTCTGGGTTGACTCAATGAGATTTGGGGATATGCTATCCTTGAGGATAGTAGGGGTTAGGATAAGGAGGATTTGGGGATAGCTGTGGATTAAATAAATTAAAAATTTTGGATTAGGGTTTTTAAAGGTGAACTAGTAAGGGTGGACCGAGGGTTTGACTAGCTGGTTCAAGGCTGTTTCAGCCAGTTTTCTAGGCAAGTGAATTGGTTCCTGGTTCATTGGATTGAGGCCTATTAGACCAAGTGGGTTTGAGAAATTTTGGGTGGCCGGTTCACCTTTAGTGTGGTGCCTTTCGGGTGATCGGTTCACCAATTTTTAAATCGATTCTTAGGAAGGTTGAACTGGTTCTTGATTCAGCATGATGAGACCTAGTTAACCGTGTAGTTTGGTGATTTTTGGATGTCCTGATTCAAGATGAATCGGGCTCAGTTTGTGCATTAGAGCTTAGGGTTTTTGGCCGGTTCAGGGCTAGTTTAATGCTTTTTTGGCCAGTTCAGACTGATTTATAAGGTTTTGGGCCTTCTGAATCCATTTTTGAAGGTTTCATATCTAATCTAGTTGAGCTAAGGTAGTTTTAGGCTAGGTTAGGTTGTTTAGGGTGTTTTGGAGACTAGTTCGCTATGATTTGAAGACTGTGGAGATTGGTTTAGTTTTGAGCTGGTTTTTGTGTGTAGGGAGTCACGAGGTCTTGGTGACAGGTCTTGGAACCTCGAGATGCATGCCAAGGTGCCGATATGAGATTTAAGCTCAGTTTGAGGCTACTGATCTCGTTTCCTGTACCGAGATTGAGGCTGGTGATGATTCTATGTGGTTTTATTTTCAATACACTTGAGGAGGTACACCTAGACTAGTGAAATGAGTGAGGATGACCAGAACTTCTTTCTTAGCTCGACCTTTGTACGGTGAATGATGATACCTTTCCTATGCTTGTGTTTCCATACTGTATTATTGGCATGATGATTATGTGATTTCTTATACTGTATTTGGGATATGGGTTACCTTGAGGATATATGTTATTTGTTTTGTGTATTGTCAGTGAACTATATCGATATGTTGTTACTAGTTTTCAAGATGTGAAAGTGTATATGCGTATGATACATATTTTTAACTTCTATGTAAGGATGATACCATGTGATGTTATTTGGGGATGGAAGGAGTTCGGCTAAAGTACGGTAATTCGTAGCGTCTAGTAATAAGTGGCCTGAGCCCTTTATGAGGTGGCAGGGGCTGCGAGTATGATGTGCACAGTTACGATGTGTCTGGGATTGCAGGCTCAACCGATGGACAGTGGGCCGTAGCGTGTAGGAGTGCCTTGGACCCTGTGTCGAGAACGTGATTTGGGTTACCAAGAACTCGCCTGGTGGGCGGTGTGCTGCCGTAGCATGCGGGGAGTATTCTGGCTAGTGAATGTGATATGATGGATTGGTTATGGTGATACCTCACATGCTTGTTATACGTATTACTACTCATTGTAAATACTTGTGTATGTGTGATATTTGATTTGAGATGTGATACATCCTCTAGCATGTATAACTTAGATATCATTTGTACTCACTAAATCTCACGACTTACAGTTCATAATTTTTTAGATTTGACTTGCTGTTCTTGTCTCGGTTAACGTGCCAGAGTCAAAGTTTGGAGGTTGCAGCTCGGTCGATGTATGTGCATATTTCCTTTTGTATTTCTTCCTTTATATTCTAAAACAACTCTCTTGAACTCTCAGACAGGTCTTGATGATTATGTATTGGGATAGCGCATCATGGTCTATATTTATTGATGAGTTTTTCTCTGTTTTTGGTGTTTGAGACTTATTAGGGTTAATGAATCCTAGTGCCGGTTATGGGCCTAGTTCGGGGCGTGACAATGTGTGTACCAAAAATATATTTGAAAACTATCTATTAAAAATGCATTAAAAAATCATATTTAATATATTAAAAAATAAATTATATTCAAATAAGTGTATAAATACATGGATATGGTATAGGTTGGCAAGAATAATGATATAGATTAAAATTAATATTCGACGAGTTATAATAACAAGTATAAGGTGGATTGCCCAACGGGGCACGGGGATAAATATATTGGTGGTGCTAGCGCCATGCCTAGCCATTGCTATTCCTGTTGTTGACTTGTAATTTTTTTTTTTAATCGTAAGAACTAAATAAACTGAGAAAATGAGGAAAGCTTTGTCCAAGTAACGAAAAATGCAATGCGATTCTATCTTTGGTAGTCTCAGAAATTAATAATTTCAGTGCAAAATCTTGGAGAATGGATGGATTATGCTTTAACTGACCCACCAAATCTTCATTTTTATATTTCAAAGGGGTAATAGAATAAATCATCCAAAAATAAGGTGTTCTGATCCACTTGACCCTGGTATGCCCCTAATTTTCTATTATAATAAGCAAGCTACAAGCCGCCCATTACGTACCCACCACATCATTTATTCGTAATCGTTTAATGGGGATTGTCAATGGCTCCTAGTTCTATTGAAGAGGCCAACAGCCTGTTTGGCTTTGTTGATGGAAACAGTTTAAAATTTTTGGAAACAGAGTACTTGTTGGGCAAGTTGTTTCTGAAACCGTTCAGGGAAAAAAATTCAGAAAAATATGTCCATAAACTACTTTTGCTTGAAAGAGAAATAAAATATGAAAACAATGGAGTTTTCTGGAAATTTTTGTTTCCAACAGTACAGAAAACAGAAAACAGAAAAAAGGATACAAATCCAGACAAACATCTCTTTTCTGAAAATTATTCTGAGGTTGATCCGTGGGCAGGCTCAGACCATCTTTCAATCAATTACTGCTTTTTCTTTTTTTTAATTTTTTTACTTATGAACAGTAATTGGAAGTTGGATTAAGTGCGGTGGTAAATATTACTGCAATTCAATGCTTGGGCAAAAATTTACATCAAATTCCACATAATCCATGGACACATGGTGAAAAATTATGATAAATCAACCCCTTCTGCTTCCTCTTGTTGCCGCAGGCGATTTCCTTAAATCAAAAGAAGGGAGGATCGGGTTAGGAGGAACGGAACGACTAGCTTGAAACTTTATAATTTTTATTGGTACAACAGAAATAAATGAAAATTAACGGATAAAAACAAAACTTATCATATCAGCAAGTAAAAAATGACCAACACTCGAAAGGCTCATTTAAAGTAAAAAAATTATTTACTAATTATTTAGTTTTTGGTAGATTTCTGATCGCACTCTCAAGCGAGAGATAAAGTATGAGTGTTTTGAAAACTAGACAAAATTGGCCAAATTGACTAATTGAACTTCGTGCTGGTTGACTGGAAAAAATTGTTTGGGATTTGAACCAATCAAAACCTGTCAAAGATTGAAAAAATTAGTTTTTTAGTTGACATTTTTTCCCCTCGGAAATCTATAAACCAAAACAAACTGTGAAACTAATTTCCACATTTCCATAGACGTGTTAATTCACAGAACAAGGATCCTTTTGCAAAAGCTTCCAATTGACCTTGAGATGCCCCTGAAAATATCATAAAACCTGGTCATCCATTTAATATTTTGAACCTAGGACAGAAACTATAAGATACATGTGCAGAGAGGGAGTGGGAGTTGTGCAGGAGGGAATTTTTTATTCTTATTTTTTGTATTTGTATTTTTTATATTATTTGTAATAATATTATAAATATATATTTATATTAAATATATTTACGAATTTTGTATTTTTTATATTATTTATAATAATATATAAATATATATTTATATTAAATATATTTACGATATTACACCTATTGAACCAATGTTCCGATTAATTTGATTGATCGAACCGTAACTAATAATTTTGTGACCGATCCGCTTTTTAAACATAACCTGGTTATTCATTCTAGTAAACTATACGCACGGCAGAGGTGCCAACAATCACATAAAGCAGTTGAACCGCTTCTAGTTACATTTATTAACTTACAAATATGTATAGGAAGAATATGATTATCAAATCAGTAGTACAAGCGCAAGCATTAAAACAATCACAGACAACGGAGTACGAGTCGTCAAGGGCAGAGCTTGAAATGCACGAGAGAAGGAACGCCGTCAAGCCCTTTCTCGTAGTAGTATTTCAGGTAGTCATCCACCGTAGTTTCCTTGTAGATTGGTGGATTTGCGGCGGAAACCAGCTCCTTGATTGGCCCATACAGTCTTGATGTCTGATGTGTTCTGAATAGACAAGCCACTGAAATTCTCGGCCCTGCATCGTTCGCCAGAACCCTGTGGTCAACGCTTTTGAACCTGTCATTCGATATGAGCTGCATAGCCATGGGCAAGGGAACCACATGGGCAAGATAAACAGAAATTACTCGCTTATCTCTTATATTTAATAGGTGCAAAAATTTTAAGTCATATAAAAAATCTAGTAAATATAAATCTTAAAATGAAATGGGATAAGATACATGGGAAATGGCAAATGCTAATTTCCCTTCTCTCAATTTTAAATTCTATATATTCTGACAATATTATCCTTGCTATTTATAAAACAAATTACCAATTATACCAATTGATATTAATTCTTAAATCTCTTGATTTTTAAATTTACCTAATTGGCGAAAAAAGTCCAAAATTCTGTAACATTGTAATAATATTATTTACCGCTATTTTATCTATTCATATTCAGATTGGGTGGTCGAACATGCCTTTCAAAAAGTAAAAAATGAATGGTGCATCAATTTAACTGTGTACTCAAGAAGTGCAAAACAAACTACAAAGGTAGAAGAAAAATGAAATTGGTAACAAGCTAGAAGGTACAACGCATTTCTATGGCTTTAACTAGTTTGTGAGAGTATCAATTTTGACAATTAAGTGGGTTTAAGTGCGTGAAAAATCTCTGCTGGTCAATGAAGATTGAGAATCGGAGAGTTTCGATTCTACTTACCCTATTCGGTACTTCAACTTAGAATCCTTAAAATCAAGAAGCCCCAAATTGCCGGAATCAAGGATTTGTATTCTGTTTCAGATTTTGTTCTCATTTCTCTTTTTTTTTTTTTTTTTTTCAGAAAATAGAAAATACCCAAGATCATGAAAATTCTTGTGTTTTTGCGTCATTTTCATCTTTTGAAACCAAAATAGTTTCTGAAAATTTCAAACAGATTCAAACATGCCCCTAAAAGACTGACCAACATGTCTCCACTGCTGACAGAATAAAATTACGAGTTTAACTAGGATAATTATCAAGCATGCCTCTAATTAGATCATTAAGGAGATGAATTACCTGTAAGAGATCTCCGATATTGACTATAAGAGCTCCATCCACTGGAGGAACATCAATCCATTTGTCTTGATAAAGCAGTTGGAGCCCACCAATGTGGTCTTGTAGTAGGACTGTCAGGAAATCAGGGTCACTGTGCTTGCTGGTGCCCATGGCTAGCTCTGGCTCGGGGCACGCAGGGTAGTAGTGACTCAAAATCACCCTCCCCTTCGCACAATCCATAGCTGTGAGATGGTCTGGTTCGAGCCCAAGTGCCTCTGACAGTAATTCAAACAAAGTAGTCCCCAATCTCCCCATATGCTTCCAGTACTCCATTGTTAATTCTCTGCAATTCATATCAATAAGTCGACCCAAATCAATACATTCTATAGAGACAGAGAGAGTGTTCAGCCAATAATATGATTTTATGGGTGAATCAATTGAATAGATCTTTCCCTACCTGCAGATTGTTGGAAGCTCTGACTGATCGAAGGGCTCACGGTCCATCAAACATGTGAGGGTGTCCCTCCAATTAGCATAGCTCGTCTTATACAAATCGAAGTTGCTACCAAACTTCACTCTCCGTCCATACTCCCGCGAGTACAACTCAGCCTTCTCCGCCGTAGGCAGCTCGTGGAAATCACGTGCCGCCTTCAACATTCCCTCCAGCACCCTTGCCGGCACGCCGTGGTTCACCACCTGGAAAAACCCTAGGTCTCGGAGGCAACCCTGACGGCGTCGACCACCTCCGCTCTGCGGCAGCTGGCGGTGGCTCCGGCGAGGTCTATGACCGGGATTGCGAAGTCGGATGTGATTGGCGGGGCCGCGACTGGATGGTCGGCAGCGAGATCTTCCGGCGGGCGAACGAAGATCCGGGGTACCTTTGTGATTCCGGAGTCAACGACGCCTTTGACTCCGGCTTTGGATTCGTCAAACGCCTTCAGTTCCTGTAATCTATCGCCGTTGGGAGAGGATTCCGTAATTGTCATTTTCGTTCACTCGTTTATTTTAAGTTCTTCAAGTAATAACTCAGGGAGACTATCGGACTTGTATATATACACCAATGCATTTAAAATCCGCGCCGTTCTTGTCATTGATTTTAATACATGACAAATATTAAAAAAATGTAAGCAATAATTGTATTGTTGGCCGGCTGTATAGGATGTACATTGACGGGGTTAACCAATAATTGAATGGGATTGATTTTGGTGGTTAACTGAAAGGTTTTAGTTATGAAATTTGGGTACGTGTTAAATTCAGTTTTTATCATAAAAATCATTCAAACTAAATTGTTTACATGCAGGATGAGATCATCAGTTTGGATATGACGTCACTCTATATCCCTTTGCACAATCCATGCCTTTGAGATGGTCTGGGTCCGGTCCAAGTGCTTCGGAGAGTACCTCAAACAGATTAGTGGCCAATTTCCCAACATGCTGGCAGTACTCCGTTGTTATATCTCTGCAATTCATTCCATATATTAAGCTTTTTGCACTACGTTTTTTTTTTCTTTTTTCATTTTTAATCGAACACTTGCATCGGAAGTTTCAGAAATCTACTAGTTTGTGTCATATGAAGGATGTACCTGCAGACAATTGGTAGCTCCAGTGGATCCAAGTCGAAGGGCTCACGGTCCTTCACAAGAGTGAGGGTGTCACTCCAATTTGCATAACGCGACTTGTACAGATCGAAATCGCTCCCAAACTTCACACTTCTTCCATACTCCCGCGAGTAGAGCTCTGTCGTGGAACTCACGCGCCGCCTTCACTAGTAGAGCTCCGCCGCCGTCCGCAGTGGCTTTGGCGAGGTCTATGACCGGGATTATGAACTCGGATGCGGACGGCAGTTGTCGCCGACAAGATCTTCCGGTGTCCGGACGAAGATACGCGGGATATTCGTGATTCCGGCGTCAACGATGCCTTTTACACCGGCTTTGTGTTCGTCGAATGCCTTCAGTTCCTGTAGCCAATCGTCGTTCGGAGAGGATTCGGTGATGGCCATTTTCGATTTTCTTATTTCTTTTCCTTGTGAAATTCGAACCGTAATATATTGTAATGTACATATATATGTATATATTTTTTTTATCTGCAATTCTCGCTTCTTCTCGTTGTCGACAATGTTTCTGATATTCAAAGAAGAATTTATGTTTTTAGTACACGGCCGGCAATTGAATTGGTTGGGCAACCAGTTTTCTGGTGAACTCGGTAATATTAACATGATACGTAAGTAATTAAAATTTTAAAAATTAAAAGAATACAAAATTAGTTAAAAATTAGAATCAAACAAGTACGAGATTAAAGTTTTTAATGGAATACCGACGACTTCGCCCAAACTATAAAAAGCAATACTAAAACCACAATATGAAGGTATCAACCATCGCTGGAGTGTACACGTGGCAGTACATTTTTATTTCAAGAGCAGTTTGTAATTACTTTGAGAACCAGGATAAGAAAAATCAAAATATTTAACCTAAAGTTGATATAAATTCATGAATTAATGGTTAATTAAGCATGATCTGTGACACCAATTCCTAAGATTAGATTAATAGCGTGGAGCTTTCCCGAGGGTTAGCCTCTTCAGACGTAAAGAACTGCTAAATACAATTTAAAAGAATTAATTAATCCATCGTTGCGTGCTTTACTTCCCTAAATATTTCATTATTCATTAAATTAAAGCTAAGCTGACCTGGAAAGTTGTTAAGTGATGGTGGACTCTCGCATTTTCATACTTTAGCAAGTAGAATTAACTGGGCAAGAAGAATGGGATTATATCAATCATGAGATGCTAATTGAAGTATATTCCAAAGCTATTCACTAAGGCAATCAACATGTCATATTTAAATTAAATTAGATAAATTTAAATTTAAATTTAATTAATTATTTTCATATTTAAATTTGATTCAAAATCTTATATTATTTATATTTGTTAAACAAAATTCGAATATAATAAATAATTCAAAATTTGATAAAAAAGTTTGATTTAACAACAAAAAATATCTTTTTATATTTAAATTCTTCAACTCTATTTTATTAATTATGTTAATTCATGAATTTTTAAATTTCTTAATTTAATCCTTATAATTTTAAATTTATTAATATTATATATAATTAATAATTTAATAAATAGATTCTTAATAAATTAGATTAATTAATTTCATATTTAATTCACTTATTTCGAATTATAAATATTTTAAATTAAATTTAATTTATCAAATATTTTAATTAGATTCATATCTTAATTTTTAAATCAAATTCAAATTAAATTCTAATTAAAATTTAACTAATTAAAAAACCCTTAGCACATGGCTTGTCCATCTTGAACTCTTGGCAAAGGGATGGATTTGCGTAGGGGCATGGGCTGCTTGTCCCTCGATCTTAAAAAAAAAAAAAAATTTCAATTTTTTTAATGCAATTTAAAAAAATGACAAGAGGGCTCCCAATATTTTAACCTTTTTTCTAATTTAACCCCACCTAGATCCGTTTGACGGTGTAGGGCTCCATCAGGCCCTTTCTGAGACCTGGAAGGTGATGTATTCTTTCACAGTGATAAAAGCTCCTTAATTTGTCTCTATGCAGTCCCCTACTGGAAATGTGTTCTGAAAAGTTAGCCAACCAAATTCTTAGGCCTAATTTGTGCGCAATAACTCTCTGATTCACAGTTCTGAACTTTTCATTCTCGCTGGCTGCAGCACAAAGAAGATGAGACAGAAATCAAAGAGTCTAAAAGCTACTTCTAGCCAAAAATTTTCTCGGGTATGTGAATTTCGTAAAGACATACGTTACGGCACTTCTTTCCAAAATGAACAAGTAAGACTGCTTTAGACAACTTTGTGTTGAAAGTAAGAGACCAATCTCACAAATCCTTGTTTGGAACTACGTCCGATTCTCTCAATGCTGTCTAGATAGTCTTCATATTTCATAAAAAAAAAGAAATTTGTAGTCGTCCCCACAAATTTCTCAGTTCATGTCACTCCTAATTTTCAAATTGACACGAGACCAAATAATTGACGACAACCATAAGCAAGTGATTCATTTCAGACAATATGTCACGCCTCGAACCCCGGGCCGTGACCGGCACTGGGATCCACCGACCCCAGTAAGTCTCAATAAAACCAGTCGAACTCCAGAGATACAAAATATACATAAAGAGCAATAACACAATATCCAAAAATCACCTAGGATCCTGTCTGAGAGTATAAGGAAGCTACTCTAGAATACAATCGGGTAAAGTACAAAAGAGAAATGTCCGTACATCTATCAAGTCTGCTGTCGTCGACTCCCACGCTGGCACGCTAACCGAGGTGAGTACAGTCAAATGAATCTGGAATGTTTAAAACTATGAGTCGCGAAACTCAGTGAGTATGGATGATACCTAATCTATGCATGTCAAGATACACATCATAGCACAAGTCTAAAACCCTAAGCATACAGCGATCAGTAAAACATAACAACATATACTCAAGAATGCTATCAGCCAACATCAAATCACATCACTGGACTCAGGCCTACCCCACACTAGATGCTACGGTCACCGCACTCCAGCCGAGTCTCCGCCGTCCTCTCACGGACTCAGACCGACTCACTTACTGGACGCTACGGATCACCGCACTCTAGCCGAGTTCCTGCCGTCCACAAATCCCGTCACAGCACACCACCCTCACATCCAAGTCAAACAGATATACAGCCTATATACAATCCATGTCTCAAAAACCAAAATCACATACCGACACGACTCCCTAACAGTTCACAAAACACGTAGCACATAACCCGAGTAACATATAATCAAAACACAATTTCAACCCACAAAATCATCATATCAGAAATCACAGTATGAAAACACAAGCATAGAGAAGATATCATCATTCACAGTACGGACGCTAAGCCAAAAAGAGAGTCACGAGTCACCTCGCCTGACTCAGTGGTCCGAGTATGCCCCTGCCTGCGAATCTGCAATCAAAACCACACAAAACCATCACCAACGCCGAAACTAACACGAAAAACAAGCTCGGTAGCCTCAAACTGGACTCAAATCCCAAACGGCCTCTAGCACGCATCTCGAGGCAACGCAACTAGTCGTCGAAACCTACGTGACTCACTAACACTGAGCAAAACAACTTCACCAATCTCAACTTTACGGAACTAGCCTCTACAAACCTCGAACCGCAGCGAACCGACCTCCAAAAGCCACGAACCGGCTTAGCCCGGTTCAAAACTACATCCAACTCAACAAAAATGGCCACGAAACCCTCAAAATCGGATTTAGAAGGCCCAAAAACCCTGGGAACCACTATGAACCGGCCAAAAATGGCTCAAACCAGCTCCGAACCGGGCCAAAAACCCTAACCCTAAGCACCGGTACGCAAACCGAGACCAGTTCACCTTGAACTGGGCACCCAAAATTTCCCGAACCCATTTGGTCTGATAGGTATTTTTCCCATGAATCCAAAATCGGTCCAACCTCCCAATTCCAAGCCAAAATGGCCACTGAACCAGGCCGGTCAAAGCCCCTAGCCGGTTCAGTTAAACCCTTCCCTTTTTTTTTTTTTTTTTTGCTTAAGCCGCGGCTTGGCTTGAGCCGCCAGCCTAGCGGCTCGGCTCGGCTCAGTCGCGGCTCAGACCCGCCTAGGCCAGCCCACTCAACTGGGCCGGCCCAAGCCCAACACTTTTTTTTTTTCCTGGCCCGCGGGCCAAGCCTGCAGGCCTATGGCCCAATCCACCAAACGGCCTGGCCCAGGCCCAACCCACACAAGCTAGCCGAGTCGACTCGGCCGAGCCAGCTCAGCACGGACCCGGAGCAACCGGGTCCGTCTTCTTCACCCGCCCCCCCGACCCGACTCACAAACCGGGTTTGTAATGCGACTCGACACACCCAACCTCGAAATACTCGGATCTGGATGCTTACCTGGACCAAACGACCTCCCGAAACCACGGATTCCACCCCGGCAACCCTTAACGAAGCACCTAATCGGACTGGATCGATCCAAACGCCTCAGAATTTGAGAAAACCGATCCGGCCATCCGTGAACCCAGTTCAGCCAAGAACCTCAAAATCCTCTCCAATCTCTCTCCAAAATGCCAAATAGCTTGAGGGCTTCTGTTCGTCGGACAAAGACGAGCATAAATGCTCGATTCAATCGGCCTACCAACTCCTCATCATCACGGTAAGGAAGATACAGTAACCGGGTACTGTTCTTGACAGAATTTTCTGTCAAATTGCAACCCAGCCCTTCGGCTTTTAGTTCCTTACAATCCAGTCCCTGTGATATTTTCAATTTGATCCCTACAGATTTCGATTCTTGCAATTTGGTCCTCCACCTTAAAATTTTCAGAAACTGGGTCATTACACAATAACACGGAAATGCTTCGCCATTCTATTACCACTAGCATACCTTAAATCGTTTTCTTTTCCTTCTCTCTCTCTCTCTCTCTCTCTCTCTCTCTCTCTAATTTTGAACTCAATGGTTCCATTATCCTCCGAAAGATTTTATAAAAAGAAAAAAAAGCCCCATCAAAAAAATTCCTGAAATCAATCAACCAAATAATCATTAGTTGAAAACAATTGATTCGGACTCGGAGTTTTCTGCTGTCGCTTACTTTGGAAAGATGCTTTTGAAGCAGAAAAGCACAGTGAGGAAGCCACTGTCAGTGTGACCAATTCTGCCATGGTCAATTCTAATTCAGGAAATGCCAGGTCGTAATAGCCAATAAAGTAAAGCCCCTCGGCACATTGCATCTCCCCCTGGTGGCCAGGTTTCAGCAGCAGAGCCTTGGACATTTGTTCAAACAGATTAATCCCCAGTTTCATCAAATAATCCTGATGCTTGATCATGATAAGTCTACAAGTTGATCAAGAACACAGAAGATTATTTAAAAATTACCGTTATCAAAATTAGGCTGTCTTAATTTTGAAATTTTCCCGCAGCGTGAGTCCTAGATCTGTCTTAGAATTTAAAGAACAAGATAGTTGTACTCTTGAGCATTTCAATGTTTCTTATCAATTTAAAAACAGTGAAATAATGCAGTAGATGCTGTCCCTCCAGCTAATTACTGGTATCTGGTGCATATCAAAATTTCTGCAACAAGGAAAACTTCTTGAAAGATCATGCGAGCAGAACTGTTTCTTTACCTTGGTGTCTTGCTCATGCAACTTCCTTATCCCCTCAACTATTTCATTCATGACCACCTGGAACTTCCTTAATCACCTGAAAAATCACCAATTCTCACTGGCTTCTCCCACTTTTACAACCACCTCTCTGTGAAAACACGCATTTATATCAATGCCCTAAAAGTCCACAAGTAGAATGTGAAGATTGGTTTTACCTTAGCATGGCTTGTCTTAATGCCCGTCCTGTTGATGGACAAATATGTTGGGATCTTCAGACATCGGCATCTACAAGTCCTTCTATACCAGTTGAGGAGTCATCAAAAGCTCTCAAGTCACTTTTCCAAGCATAAACAAGCTTGACTACGGGAACAACTTCTCTGGAGCTCATTGCTGCCATTTCCTATCCTTGAGAGTATGATATGTGGCTTCAGTTATCAAGTTTTTCAATAAAATTTTAAGGGTGCTTTCATCCAAACGTGAAATGACTAAAAAGTAAGAGGGCATTAACCCTTATCCATCTCTGTTTTATAGTCCTTGTTAGGGACACACTGCAACTTCAATGAATAATTCTGACGGAACAATATTAAATTTCTGTATGTGGGTGCGGATGAAATAGCCTGCAACCCAAAGTGTGTATTACTAAGTGTAGTTTACCCTAAGATATTTACCCTCATCATCGTTTTTTGGATTCATATGAGAATCACGGTTGTGCAAAAAATTACAACCTTCTTGAAAAGGCAACCAACAACAAAATGTATTAAGAAAACGTAGCTAAGCAAGGAGAGATGATTCGGTACAGCTATTAGGAAGCCAAGGGAATGTTTTAGCAACATGGAAAAACCATTGAGGAAAGTTTGGTCTAAAGAGATTTCAAACCAACCTTTCCTGTAGAAATGAGACAGTGAAGATGTTCCTTCATGCCCTTTCCTGTAGAAATGCCCAAAATCAGGTCCGGTTTGGGACATGATGGTAGTAATGGCCGAAGAAGAATATCCTCAGCAAAATTCAGGTGATCAGGGCCAAGCCCAAGAGACTTGGAGAACAATTCTAGGAGAAAGCCCTAATCCCGAGATGCACTTGGAATAATTTATGATTATATCTCTGCCAAGTTCAAAAATATAGATGATCAACAGACTAGGTAGATTCAATGTCCCTCTCTTAAAAAATAAATCTCCAGCGTTTCTCTCTTTTGGAATTATCTGTTGTCACTTTTTACTTTTCCTACAATTCCAACTGAAATAGTGACCAAAACGAGTTTAAGCGATTAGCAAAGTTCCAGCAGAACGCTTCATGAACCCGAAAATTATACTTACTGCCAGTGATATCCTTATTTTTTCTTTTTCTTTTAGCCTTGAAAAATGCAAAAGCATAAAAAATACTGCAAGCCAAAATTCACAAATTGAGGTGATGACATTATACATCGATGCCAAAGCACTCATATGCAATATAGTCTAAACCATACCTGCACACATTGGGCAGATCCTGATGGTCAGGAGGCTGGGGAGCCATGATACAGGAGCAGTTAGCTGCGAGTGCTTGATAAAGATCAAAGTTGCTTTTATATGTAAAACTTCTTGTTGAGTGAACAGAACTTCTTCTTCACCTTAGTGTCTCGCTAAAGGACCTCCTCATCCCCTCTAATATCATGTCTTCCACAACCCTTTCTAGGACCTCATGATTGACCACCTGAAAGGGTTGCAATTTTCAAGACGAACATAGCATGACACTAACACAAATCAAATTGATTGAGAGTGACATGGATACATATGATAAGTCAAGAACTTGTTTGAATAAATGCAACCGGTTGTCATTTTTATTGTAAATTAATGGGCTAATTACACTGAGATATCTTGAAATCACAAAAACCTCCCTGTATTCCTTGAAATTGCTTTTATGTTCTCTTTGCTTTAATGTTAGTTACAGATTGCCCGGCAGATAGTAGGTCATTCCTGAAGTGGGCCTGATCCTATATTATTACTAGAGTATTGCTCAGATTCAGCCCTCAACAAAGTAGGACATCAGTTTCAACCTCAACTTCAAACGCTCAAATCAACTCTATTTATTGTAGCTTTTGTCATAATTTACATAGTAGCCAACTGTAGAGACTAAGATCTAAATTGGAAATTGTTTCGGATATAATCTGATAACCGCCTGGGAGCTCACAATTTGAAATGTGACAGTGTGGAGCTTCCAAGACCTTTGCCGAAATAGCTCATGAAGTACTCTTTCACCGTGGTTTCCCTGTAGATCGGAGGGTTTCCTCTGACAACAACTCCTTAATTGGTCCATAGAGTTTCGGAGTCATCCCTTCTTGGAAGTGTGTCCTGAAAAAACATGCCATTGATGCTCTTGGACCAGTGTTTTTCACCAGTACTCTATGAATGGCACTCTTGAACTTATCGTTGGTGATGAGCTGAAACAGAGAAAGGCAGTAAAATATATGATAGCTCAATGTAACCTATGCAGTACAATAAAAAAGTTCAAGATAATTCAATTGCCTACTTTAATCTGTATTTTCTGTCTTAGGATAATCCCTGCCTACGCTATCTTCATTGGACTTAAAGCACGGAATAGGAAAACTATAAAGAAAAATAACCTTCCTACAGGGAAACCACGAATTGTAATTCACTTTTGTTTTCCTCTCTAATTGTGATTTCCTTATTGTAAACAAAAATATACAGCTAATTGATTTCCCCGATAGTTTTTCCATGCTCTGTATTCTTTCAAAATCCATATAACAAATACTGAAACTTAACTTGCCTGCAGTAGATCTGCAATGTTCACCACCAGAGCTCCGGCCATCGGCCGAACATCGATCCATCGATTCTCATGAAGGACCTGGAGACCACCGGTTTGGTCTTGCAGAAGCAGAGTGAGAAAACCAGAGTCAGTGTGGTTGCTTATCCCGAAAGTCAGTTCCGTTCAGGGCAAGCCGGGTAATACTGGCCAGCCAACAAAAGCCCCTCTCCACAACCCATCCTTCTCAAGTGATCAGGATGGAGCCCCAGCGCCTCCGAAAGCAATTCCAACACAGTAATCCCAAGATCCATCACGTGCTTCGAATATTCAGTCATAATTTCCCTGCAACATCAACAATGTTAGATTAAAGAAGAGACCTTCAGAACTGAAAAATACGATCATACAGCACCGAATCGGGTCGGATCCTCTTGACAGTCCCTTTTTTCAGTAAATACAAACATTCCAAATGCTTTATTTCATCAAATTAATCATCGAATTCTCAAATTCAAAAATCCTCTAAAAAAATACGAATCATCCAAAAATCACGAACAATCCGACCTTGTCCATTTAATTGAACACACACCAAATACCTGCAAACGTGGGCAGTTCTTGGGGATCGGGTGGATGAGGAGCCATGACGGCGAAAATTGTGTCCCTCCAGTGCGCCGCCGGCGATTGGTACAGGTCGAAATTGGAGTTATACGCGAATTTTCTAGTTAAATCGCGCGAATAGAATTGTTTCTTCACTAGGGTGTCTTGCTCGTGAAATCTCCGAACTCCGTCCATCATATCCTCCATGACCAACAGCGGGATTCCGTGGTTCACCACCTGGAAGAAGCCCACTTCTCGGCCGCGTCTCGGACTTCGTCGACGACCTCGCGGCGCCGAGAGGCGTTACAGTCGATTCCGCGGAGGTCTATGACTGGGACAGTGAATTTGGGATCCCTACAAGAAGATTCTTTGGGAAGATTGGGCTTATTTTGATGGACGAAGAAGCGAGGTAAAATGGCCACCCCAGCGTCGACAATCCCCTTCACTCCGGCTTTTGTGTCGTCGAAGGCTCTTAATTCACTGTTCCTGTCGTAAGCCTGCTGCTTGACTTCCGCCGGCGCTTCGCTGCCGGTTCCAGTGACCACCATTTCCGTCTCTGTCGGATAGCCCGTAGCTGTCGAAATAATTGCATAGGCCGTCCTGTCCAAATATTAAAAAAGTAAAAAATAAAAAATAAAAATTTAAGGCACATTTTAATCCCTTGTGTTATAAAATTGATATCACCAATTAGAGAAATATGACTACGTTTAAGCTTTTCTAAACTGATGTTTTCTTGCAAGGTTATTGAATAGTGAAAAACAGTCAACAAATGTTTGAATAGGAATTCATTGGCATGCAAAGTTTTTGTGGTTAGTAGTGTAACCAAGTGGTCAGTGTCAGAGTAGGATTTGGTGTAGCTTAACACTGGTTAAGTGTCCAAGGCTGAAGGAAAACTTGCAGGGGTGTGGGTGGGTGATTAGAGATGTGAAGTGTCTAAGGTCAAAGGAAAACTTGCGGGGTGCGGGGGTGTGATTAGAGATCACGAGGGAGATTGGATTTGAGATATTTTTAGAAGAACAGAAGAGACGTCGATATTAAAAGTAAAAATTTGGAGAGTTTAGGAAGATTTAAGATAGCATAAAATCTTGGATACAGACAGATAATTTTGGAGATAGATTCTCCACTATTTAACTAATTTATTAATTAGAAAGTGTTTACAATTACTTTTTATACCCTAATTTTTTTTGAGATTAAACTTTTATTTAACCATACATAGATAGTTATGATAAAGCATATTGTTAGAGAAACAAATACAAGCACAGATATTATGTCTAATCTCAATCTATTCTAGATTATGGTTTGAAAGATTGGACGTACTCTCCAATCAGTTGAGAAATTTTTTCTTTTATAATTTAGTGAGAGTCTCTACTCCCCAGATTTTTTCGTGTAGTTTTTTATTTTTTTAAAGTCTTTAATCCCTCCTCGTAAAAAAAAAAAAAAAATTAATCGACTGACTCTCAAATATTTAAAGGTATTTTTGTCAGAAAAAAAAAAAAAAAAAAAAGGCGGTAACTCACGTCTCAATTTCTACCACATTGTTTGACGTAGTGTCGCTCAGGCCTCTCCTTTACCGAGGCCAACCTTATACAGTAGGGCTCAAAATGGGCCAAATCTGGCGGGTCACGCCGAATAGTCCAACAAATGAGTTGGTATGAGTTGGGGTTGAGTTAATAAAATATAAGCTTAATTGTTTTCAGCTGATCCAGTCTTGCTCTAAAATGGATAAGGTTAAAATGGGACAACTAGTATTGGGCTGGCTGGGTTTGATTTATCCGTCCGAATAGATTTAATAAATTTAATATTATTTTTTTAAAAATTTTTTAATACATTTAAATTTAATAAATTATATCAATAATTTTTAATATTATTTTCAATAACATATGATTTTATTTTTAATATAAATTAAAATTTAATAAATTTATTTTTATTTATTATGTTTATATTATATTAAAATGAATTATAAATTAAAATAAGAAAAAAATATGAGCCCTATTATATATATATATATATATAAATTTGAATTATTTAAACTAAATTCCAACCCACTCTATGTATATTTTTCTATACTTTTCTACTAAATATTATAAAAATAAATTCAAAATGAAAATTACAAAATTTGTAAAATTTTATATTATCAAAATTATAATTATAATTTGTAAAAAATTAGTAATAGCAAATAATTTATCATTCTCTTTTTTTTTTAATTTTTAAATTATTTTAACTAATTAAATTATAAAATTTTATATTATTATAATTTTATTCAAATTTAATTTATTTTCTATGGTCAGCTGGCCAGGCTAGCTCATAGCCTATATTAGGCTGGAGTGGGCCAATTAAATCCTAGCCAAAAAAAATTTTGGTTCAACCCAAAAATCCTCTTGACCTACGTGGATCAGCCAAACTAGGTCATGCTGGCTCTAATTGACAGCCCTATATCTCTTGGCCAACATGGGCTAGCCCGAATGGGTCATGTTAACTTTAATTGACAATTTATATATAAGAGTGTTCATAATTTTTAAATTTATACTAAATCAAAAAATTTATTTTTTAAAAAAATTTATAAATTATGACACTAAGTAGTATTATATCAAATGTTTTGATATAATTTTAATTAAATTAATAAAAATTTATATTAAACATAATATTATATATAATAATTTATTAAATTGTTTATATTGTATATAAATGATTAGATTTCTAAAGATGATTTAATAATAAATTTAGCAACTTACATCAGGGACGTAGGTATTAAGTATTTCCCTTGAATACCCCTATACGTTTATGCAAGTGAAACATCGTTTACAAGGCAATAGATGATGTCACGCAACCTTTCTTCCTTGCAGCTTCATATATATTCAGGTCCTATTTATTTATATATTAGTTTATTTCAGCCTTATATTAATTTATTCAGGTCCTATTTATTTATATATTAATTTAGAAAAGTTGAAACCTAAATAAATGCTTACCTGATAATGAGGAGCACAATGTAGCCCCCACGAGGGGCAAGCTTGCCACCTCTTTGGCTTTTTACTTTAATATTTGGTAAAAAGTTACTATATGCTCCTATATTTTATTTAACTTCTACAAAATCTCTTTCTAACGTAAAAATTAAATTAAAATATATTACATTTTACTATATTCTATACTCAAATCTTCCATCTATTAAAGTATATTTCGTTAAAATTTGTTTTTGAGAAAAAAATAAAATACCTCTTATATTTTGGTTATGTTATACAAAATTCTCTCTTAATATGAGAATTAAAATAAAATATATTGTATTTCAATATTTTCTTACTTAATGTAAGTGAAAATAATTATAAATTTTACTTTTTTGTGATTTAGTTAAAGGTTACAAATAGTCCTCCGACTAAAAATATTGTCTTTCATCGTATAATTCATTTTTCATGTAATAAACTTAATTTTCTAATACTAAGAATTGAACTTTTCTATTTTATTATTTTTATCTTTTTATTTTCCATTCTTTCTCATTGTTAAATACATTTTATCTTTATTAAAAACTATTCAATATTTTTTTTTTCATAATGATTGTTTGTTTCATCAAAATAACAAAAACCAAACTAAGAATTCTATAATTATATTTAAAAATAAAAAAGATTAAAGAAAATCGAACAAAACTTTATGCACTTCATTTATTTTAGTCTCCAAAGTCATCCTTATTTTTATATATTGATCTCTATCTTTTATATTATCTAATTAAGTCTTTAATTCAGTTATTACAATTTAACATAATTAGTTCTGAAAAATATGAAAAATATTCCACAAAAATCTTAAAACACAACAGAATTTAATTCAATTTTTATGTCATAGGAGAATTTTATGGCCTTTAGAGAAAACATACAAGAGTTTTATATTTTTTACCCCTATTTTTCTCACTGACTGTGCTTGCCGATGGAGCAGACTTTCATTATTTTACAGGCCATGATCATAAACCAGCTGTCAACCTGCTGATTAATATACAAAACCGTCAAATTAATTAATAAATTGAACAAATAAAGTTAAGCCGACTACCAGAAAACATCAAGTTAATTAATTAATTAATTAAGAAGATAAAGTTAAGACAACGAGTGTGAAACAAAGGAGTGGCCTTACCAGCTTAATTAATTTGTTTTTTTTCCCAAAATTAATTGATTAATCAAATTACTAAGTTTATTTTTTATTTTTAGCTTCATTTCAATAGGTTGGCTTCTCACCTAAAGCAAATGTTGATTTCGGAGCACCGAAGCCTCTGGCAACTGCTTGCTCCGTTCGCTATCACTTAAAAGGACAATAAACCATTTTTGAGTTCAGTTTCCACGCATACAAGCACATCTAGCTAACCAAAGCCTTTCTTTTCCGAGATAAAATAATTATGTTTGAATCATCTTTAATTAGTCTTGCTGCAAAAATTGTGGAGATTGCAGCTAGAGAACATTCATGCTCTCACCAGTCTCAGGGAAATTCGCGTTGTAGACTGTTCCAAATTAATTGAAAGATGCCAGAGGGCAGTAGGAGAGGACTGGGAAAAGATTGCTCATGTGCCTAACATTTATCTTGATGGTGTGAAGATCTAAGAAAGTCTGGTGCTTGTAGGTATGCCTTTTTTTGTTTGGCAACATTTTATTTCTTTACAAAATGGAACTTTTGTCTTGCTCAGCGGTTTAAAAATTCACTTATGTGGATTTTTTCTCTTCCATTTTATTCATTTTCTTTTCCAAATGTACAACACATGTCTTTATTCCATTCCGTCTGTTAATATTTTAAACAAAACCGTTTTTTTAGTAGTGTCTTTTTTTTGTGAATTGTGTATCTATAGTTTCAACTTTTATTGGCAATTGTTTTTTTTTATCTTTATATTTTATAATATCTAATAATTCTAGTTCATGACTCCTTACCCAAGTTTGGGTTGCATTTTGGTGTGATGAAGTCACGCTGTAATTGAATTTGATTCCTCTTGTTTTATTAATTGCTTTACTTTATTTTTATTAATTTAAACGCCAATTTGTGGCTCCTCAAAAATAAAAGAATAGAAAATAGAATTTGAAGTGAAAAAAATTCATATCATAATTATTTTATTTGCAAGGTTTGAAGAAATTATCGGAGACAGAATGTGTAAAAATATATCAAGAACTTTGGAAGCAGCATAAAAGTTGAAGAAGCAAAGTTCTGTCATGCAAGCCTCTGAGGACAGATTGAACAATTGATGAAGTGTAGAAATTTTATAGAAATTTCAACAGAATATTTCCTAAAAATCAAATATTTGTCAAAATTTTTGACCTGACTCAAAGACACATACTTTTAACAGAAAATTACCAAGCAAGTCATATAACAAATAATAATAAAATCAAAGATATAATACAGTATAAATTACACAAGCAAGTGATCAAGCAACCATTTAGTTCTTGAACCACAAAAATTGAGTTACATACTTAAGTTTCAAAGTCATACAAGATAATGAAATTCAAAATAATAAAATTTCTATCCGTGGTATTTCAGAGGACTCTAAATATATCAAATTCCAAAATACGCTTACACATTCATAAAAACAATGCAATATAAGGTACCAAAATCTAATGCTCACACACAAACATAAGTGCATGCAG